ATGGAACTTACATTCAATTGGATAAGACAGACTATAAAAATAAACAAATAAATATACAGGGGTGGGCAAAAATAGGTTAAATCACCAACCATCGTTACCTAAAAGATGTCATAAGTAAGGATCTGAAATAACAATAAAAATAATAAACCAAATCATACAAATAAATATTATAATCCTATATAATAAAAGGGTAATATGCAAATTGACCCTAATGGTGAAATGACTGGAAGGACCGGTCACTATGACGCTCACTGATCGCCAGGGGGCAGATGCTCAATGTAGGAGCTGCCCCCTGGTGGTCAGTGCACTCTGAGCTTCGCTCAGCCGCAAGCCAGGTTGACAGCTGCAAGCGCAGTGGCGGTGGAGGGAGCCTCTCTTGCCTCTTGGCAGAGTGGGGAGTGGGCCTAAGCCATAGTCAGACATTGGGCCTAAGCCAGCAGGTGGACATCCCCCAAGGGGTCCCAGACTGTGAGAGGACACAGGCCAAGCTGAGGGATTCCCCCCTCCCCCCGAGTGCATGAATTTTCATGCACCGGGCCTCTAGTACTTAATAAATAAGTAATAGTGCTGGGGTCCAATCCCAGCAGGTCCAGGGGTCCCCAAAGGTGTGGACGGAGTCGGCGAAGAAGGAATGACATGAAGACAGCCTTCAGTTGGTCAGCAGCCCAGTCAGGACCTATAGCCAGGATCTCCAGCCAAAGTTCTGGTCGGAGTTCTGGTCAGGAACTGATGAGGATCTGACGTTTATTGTCTTATTACATCCTTATTTATACCAGCCGATTTTAATCCTGTAAGGTGTTTCTCATCTCCATTCCAGGGAGTAAAGACCATGTAGCTTAATTACCCGCCTGGCACTTAATTAAGGGGTTGTATCCCCTCCCTAACCTCAGGGAAAGATCCCCACCTGGGGAAACAACCTTTCTCGGAGAGGTGACCTTGGTTAAAACACATGGCGCTAAAGGGAGCAAACATATTAAAAACAGTATGATACATACGCCAGGTCCACTGAAACACATGCTGTGCAGATGCCTCTTTCCTGCAGCGACTGCGTCAAGCAGCAAGGATGGACCGGCCTCTGGCATAATAGACCATAGACACAGATAATAGGGTGGTGAGAGCCTGAAGGAGAGTCAGGAGAGGGGGAAAAAGGGGACAGATGTAATACTTTCAACAATAAAGATTAAAAGAATAATAAATAAGTAATGATACAAGAATAAACCATGTTCTGGTCAGAGACCAGAAGGGACTGACCAGTGAGTGCAGAGTATCCAAGTGTGGGTCCTGTACAGCACTGAAGGTCATCATACTGGATGGAGTTGAGTTTAATTGAGATGGGGAAGATTTTCAATCAGCCTGAATCTTTATGTGTAGGCAGATCATGGGAGTAAACATAGGAAAGCACTTTCTACCCATGATCATAAATAAGAGGAATGAGATCTCCCTGTGGGAGTTTGTGAAATCAAAACATAATAAATCAAAGGTTATGTAAACAAAATGCCACCTGAGGATATGGAGCTGCTGCTGGAAGTGTATGCGCTGGGGTATCCTATTTGTCTTCTATTCCGTTGGTGAGGGACAGTTTCTAACTTTAGGGCTATGGGTATGGCTGAATGCACACCTGTCACTGGTCAGAGGAGATTGAAAACAGTTTATGTCACATATACTCACAGCCCAGGGTTGGACAATGCTCATGCCATGCCCAGACACAGGGCTACACTTGGGAACAGAGTGAACAACCAAGAGCTTTGGGAGGCAACTAAGGGGGTGAGATGCCCCTGGTCCCCATGGGAGTGTGTGCTGGGCTTGAGTGACTCTGCAGGTGGCAGGAAAATGAAGCAACTACTCAGAGATAAGCAGGGCCTGTGCTTGGTCCCTGTGATAAGAAGAGGTGTTTGACTAGGGCCGTGGTCGGCAAACTGCGGCTCGCGAGCCACATGTGGCTCTTTGGCCCCTTGAGTGTGGCTCTTCCTAAGCCTTAGGAGTACCCTAATTACATTAATAACAATGTACCTACCTATATAGTTTAAGTTTAAAAAATTTGGCTCTCAAAAGAAATTTCAATCGTTGTACTGTTGATATTTGGCTCTATTGACTAATGAGTTGCCGACCACTGGACTAGGGGACCTTATCCATGGGAGCTGAGTAGGGAAACTTGTGGTTAGGCCAATGCATGCCCTCTTGTAGAGGGACACATGATATTGGGTCTTAATTTTAGTTCTTATACCAGAAAGAGAATGGGAGCGAAGGTATGTAAGCAATGGAGCACAGAGAAAGTAGGAATTACATTTATAAAATTAGAAAGTGTCTATCTTTATTCTACCTGGAACACAGAGTGCTCTGCCAGCCCCTGTCTGCTAGTTAAAGTACATCAAATGGTACATCATTTTGATTGGACCCAATAGATCTCTGCTGATTATCTACTGCTTTTAATTTAGATGTAAAATGAGAGGGAAGGCCACTCATGTTACAAAGAACCTAATGGAATGCAACATGTATATATTAAGCACATAGCTAATAATTCAGGGGTAAAAGGGTTTTTGGCTGATTATAAAATTAACATCTAAGCAAGAAAGTAAAATCTTATGTAAATATTTTTACATAAATGTACCTGAAAGCTGATAACAAAATCTTTCCATTTTCTTATGTAAAAATGTATTTACCAAGCTTAAAAGAAAATAGCTTTCCTTTCTTTGTGTTACATTATCTACTTACATGGTAAGTTAGAATAGGAAACCCTAAGTCTTTACATTGGTTTTGGCTTTAAAAGACTAACAGCGCTTTTTCCTTCTTCTAAGACTCAGCTGCTCATGCTTGTAGTTCAGAGACTCTGCTTGTTTTTTTTTGTTGTTGTTTTGTTTTTTTGTGTATTTTTAAAAAACATTTTTATACATTTTAGAAAGGGTGGGAGAGGGAGACAGGGATTGAAACATCAATGATGAGAATCGTTGATTGGCTGTCTCCTGCATGTCCCCTACTGGGGATCGAGCCCACAACCCAGGCATGAGCCCTTGACAGGAATCAAACCCAGGACCCTTCAGTCCTCAGGCCGATGCTCTATCAAAAGAGCTCTGCTTGTTTTTTAAAAGTGGTCCTCTTTCAATCATTAATTCAGTGTGCAAACATACTCAGTAGTGCCCAGCTGGCGTGGTTCAGTGGTTGAGCGTCAACCTATGAACCAGAAGGTCACGGTTTGAGTCCCAGTCAGGGCACGTACCCGGGTTGCGGGCTTGATCCCCATTCTGGAGCCTGCAGGGGGCAGCCAATTGGTGATTCTCTCTCATCACTGATGTTTCTGTCTCTCCCTCTCTCTTCCTCTCTGAAATCAATAATAAAAATATATTTTTTAAAAACCCACATATTCAGTAGCTACTATTTTCTAATAGAAGGGCCAGTCAATAATTTGGGGGAAAATATATTTTTGTTTATTTTACATAATTTAAAAATTATACAAGTAATGCTAACCACTACTTAATTTCTTTTTAAAGGGAAAGAGCCTGGCTGGTGTGGTGCAGTGGTTGAGTGTCGACCTATGGACCAGGAGGTCATGGTTTGACTCCCAGTCAGGGCACATGCCTGGGTTACGGGCTCAATCACCAGTAGAGGGTGTGCAGGAGGCAGCCAATCCATGATTCTCTCTCATCATTGATGTTTCTATCTCTACCTCCCTCTCCCTTCTTCTCTGAAATCAACAAAAATATTTTTTTAAAAAAGGGAAAGAAAATGAATAAGAGCACATCTTCCCAGCACAAACACAAAAGCCTCTCTAAATATTTGGATATTTTTTCTGTTTCTGTGTTTTACTCTGAATAGCTTTTCAAAGTTTTTATTTAAGTTTGATTATTTTGTATATAATTTTATTGCTTTATTTTTTCTGATATTATTATGTAAAGCTTTTCCATAATATTAAAATTTACTGCACAGGTTAGTTTAAATATTGACTTAATATTTCACTGAGTAGGCATGTAGTAGAATACATACCTATCTTCTTATTTTGGGATATTTAATTTTAGTTTTATCTTTTATACATAATTTAATTGACATATTGAGGCATAAAACTCATTTTATATTTTAGAAAATTTTCTTAGGCTGATTCTCAGTGGTTGAATTATTTATTTACATATGAAGAATGTTTAAAGTTTTTGAAGGTGAAATGGCAAGTCTTCTCTTAGAGGGTACAAAACTCTTTGTGCTTTTGTTTGTTCCATTACCCGAAGTAGTGGTAGAGATTTGATCAGATAAGTTTTCAATATGTATACGTGGTGAATCGGGCAGAGAGACAGAATGTGTTCAACCATGTTTAAACCTGAGTTTCTTAAACTCCATGACAAATACTTTTTAGCACACTGGAAGCATTGAATCTGTGCCAACTCTGTGTAGTACATTCCTGGGTACAGGAAAGCAAAGAGGGCAGTGTCTCAGCTCTCAATGACTCTAGAGCTCTCTCTGGATTGAAGGAGTGGTACCCCTCTGCCCATTCCAGATGCAGTTGTGAGAGCATGGCAGTTTAGAAACATATAATTAAGTAAAAACATATAATGAAGATCCTGTATCCAATGGTCCCAAGATTTAGATGGTATGAGGCATGTATTAAAGGGAAGGGGATTTCCCAATATCGCAGAAATTACAGGGATTACTCAACTGGAACACAGGTTCAAAGCAGGAATGCCCTTACCTACAACCATATCATAATAAATACACACATTTATCAAGACACATCTAAGTTCTTACCTCATGGTGGCTTATCGGGCGGTGGTAATATATTGGAAACACACTACTTTTGAGTGGGGACACTGGGGAGAAGAAAAGGTAAACCATAGCTCATGACAAAGTAATCTTAGAACTGGGAGCCAGTCAGAACTTCCGCCTGCTTGTGCCATTGTTGCGGGACCACAGCTTCAAGGTTGTGCAACACCTTCAGTAAATACTTCCTGAAGCAGAGAGGGGAATGAGCCTGGGAGTCTCACTCGGTTTCACTTGAGAGGTGGCAGTGAAAGACCGAGCAGGCACTTCTGTTTGAGTGAGAAGGACAGACACCACAGGCCAGGGGTCGGCCAGGATGTTGCCAGGGCTGCTTCTGGTGGCCACGTTCTTTCTTTCTTCAGTTCCAGGTAGGTGTTTACCTTTTTTTTAGGTTATTTTAAATACATCAGTGAGCTGCTTGCTTTTTATCTTCTCCAAATATATTTGTTTAATAAATTTTACTGACTATTTGGGCAGATTTTAATCTATTTTTGGAGAAGGTAGGTGACTGATGTAAAAACCCAATGTACATGAGAGGCAAAGAGGTGTCCTTAATCAATATTTACATATATGTTCTGAGAACATGGGAATCAAATGGAAGATTTCATTCAGCATAATTAAAATAATGAATATGATCTTCAAGTCAAAAGGTGAAATTCATCAAAACCCACCTTGTCCTTTTTAGAGCAGTGCCCACGGCTTTGCAGAGGCTTTGGAAAATATTTTCTATTATTATTGGGACGAGTTGGCTTGTCCTGTTCCTTTTGAGCTCGCATTTTTAGTTCTTTCATTTATGGTGATAATAAATATGACTAATTAGAAATAAATACTTGACCAATTTCATTTTATAAAGCAGTGTTATATTACTTGATCAAAATAATGCTGTTGCTAAACCGAACTTGATCACTTACTTCTATTTTGCTGGTATATCAAGCATTTTCAAACTTAAAAGTAGAGGAATTCTACCTCCTAGTAACACATAATGTCTACTATCTCTGTCCATTGCTCATACGTTCTTCTATTAGATTTTGGTTAAATTAGATTGGTTAGCACATTTCCTTAGCTTATTTATGTTTCTAGAGCTTAGGGAAGCACATTAGCTTTAGTACCTGGGAATCCTTCCTTGGTCAGTCTTCTCTTGGTTATTGGCATGCTTACTGGGACCCAGGAATGGGAACAAATTATCAACCAGAAGTACGGGATTGGGGAGAACTGGTCCTCTTCCCCTTGAACTCACTCTGTACTTTGTCACTAAACGTGATTTTTCATTTCCCCCTGGTTTCTGATTTGTTTTCCAGATTTTTGAAAGTTTTACTTAATATCTTTAAATACAGAACTATGCTAGGCATTTAAGTTATTGGTTTAAAATTTCTACTTTTTGAGTCAAACTTAATAAAAATATTCTTTCCCTACAGTCTCCAAAAATACTATCACTACAAACTCTTTGGAAGCGTTTGTTTGGGTGAAACATAAGAATTGCTTGGGTACCAGCTTTTTCCCACAGCAGAAAGATCAAGCTGTATCCGTAAACAGAATCCCATCACTAACACTGGAGTTTAGCCATATTTCAGCCTTTTCAGGGAAGTTGGGTGTACAAACTGACTCTGCTCCCCCTGTGTCTGCATTCACTACATGGCCCCCAGAGATGCAATTCCCTTAGAAGTCATGCTTAAAAGCGTGGCGTCTCTGAGTACTTGGTGGTGAAGACAGAGGTTCTTGTGAGAATGAGGAGACAGACAGAAAGCTGCCCACCTTGTTTTCCATCGGGAACAGAAATCTGCCCCACTTGTATTACCTGCCCTCTTGTATTTTCAAGACTGTGTCCCCCGTAGTGAAAAACTCTGATATTTTTTCCAATAAGTTGATTTCCCAGCCAGAATGCAAGAAGTAAAGCAGTTTTATTTCCCTATGTCTTCTTTTATTTTGTTTCTTTGTTCACATCATCCACAGAATAAATAGGTGTTGCTCAGACGCTGACATTTATCTAGTTCTCATATAATGAAATAAAAGAAGGGGGTAAAATCAGGCCAACTGTTTGTAATGAGCTTAGTAATGTCCTGAGAAAAACAACTTATAGAATTGCATCACAGGAAAAACACACACAAATATTTAAAAGGATGTGCCAGGTGCTTGGGAGTGAGAACTAAATGCATTGACAAAGGAAAATGGTCTTTACTATATTCCAGCAGATTACCCAGGGGGATCAGTACTTCTGAAATTATTTTATTTCTATTTAGAAATTCTTTCTTGTCTTCATAAGGTGACCAGAAGACCCTAAAGAGTACATATAATTTCATCTTAATAGCCAAATGATAGACTTAATTAAGATGTGTTTTTTTCCTCAGTGTTTGTGCTCACTTTTCCTACATGAAGTTTAAAATTACGAGATGGGTTGAGGGGGTTCAGAGAACCCCGAACTTAAGTCAGTGTCAGGCATGAACCCTGATCAGGACTTCATGTCATGTGCTCAATCTGGGAAGAGAATGCTTTAAGCAGTTTTGAATACATATGAAAATGTCATTATGTACAAATGTGCTAAAATCCAAAGTGGCCCAAAACATATTAAAATATAAATAGCAATCCAGACCAATGTCTGTTACATTAATCTTGTCAACAGAATTAATTTTTAACTTTTTAACATAAAAGAATTATTGAATCTAAACCAAACTAAGAGATTTCTTTTTGTTGATCTAGTTTTGCTAGTCAAAATTAATCTCGCACGTGAGTCCTGTGGGAAAGAGAAAGCAAGTATTCTAATGAATGAGTAGAAACATACTGTGTTACAGCTCAAATTTGTGTAATCCCTGGATGGCACTTAGTTGTGTTTGTTCCACAGGCTTCAAAATAATAAGCCTGTGTAATCTGCTGAGAGGAGGCTTAACTATCTCTATCACCTTACGATGAACAAGCCATAAAATATGAAGGTCTGCTGCATCTCCTAACTGCTGGGTCATTCATTACATCTCAAATCACACTCGTCCCAGGGCCCTCTGGGTTTCAGAAAATCAAATGCCATTAAGGGAAATTCTATCTGCTTTTTAAGAGAATGTACGATGTTGCAAGAGTTTGGAAAGAGCTAGAAATCATTCATTTCAAACTGAAGAAAGTGAGAGGTTGCCGAAGACCTTTAAATACATTCTGGTTTATTTATTGATTTATTTTGCTTGCCATTGGAAAGTGATCTGCCGTCAAAAAAATAGTTGAAAATAAATTTCTCCACTATTTACATATTTCAGCTCCATATTTGAATCAGCTGGTAATTTCGAATTTCACCAAACCCTAGAATTTAGATACTAATTAGAAGCATACTGATTAGATACTAATCAGTGCGTATCAAAGAAAACTTGTGTTGGTCAGATCAGCCTGTTCCTTACTCACCACTTCTGAACGGAGAATGTGCATGTGTATTACTTTATGCATTTATGGAAAGAATTATTTGGGTAGGTATTATTTTATGACCCGAGGGCAGCTTGGATAATATTTCCTGTCAAAATGATGTGTATTATGGATGAAAATGATTTTTCATATAGCGTTTTAGAAAGAGTTACTCTGTTTGCAACATTGGTGAATATAAGGCTTCAAGAGCTCTGTATTAATGGGTCTAACTGCACTGATTGGACACAAGCCACCCGCCAGCACGCATGCCTCTTGGTATGCTTGTTTGGTATCAGAGTTACAGGGGGCTGTGGAGAATTGTGCCGATACCATTAGTTACTTTCTGGCAGGAGTAATTTTCTTACCTCTTAACATCATACTACTTTGAAATAAGTGTGATAATTACCAAAATGTTCACTTAATGAAAAGACAATGATTGATTAGATGTTTCTTCAGGCTTTTGGACTTCTGTTATGAAAACCGTTTATAACCAATGTGGGTTTTTTCCCCCAAAAATTAATTAAATAGAAATAAAAGAGGGCCAGTGATTATCTGTGTAACAGCAAGAAGTAACTGAGGGAACCTCAGATGTGGTTCTGGAAGTGTGACTCTGTGGCCAGACTTATTTTATCAACTGATTAGAAGTTTATTCAAATGAGCATTGCCTCTTTGAAGAGATTATAGGGGATTCTGTATGTATTTGCATGAAATTGTAGACTACTTGAACTGGCCAGAGATCACTTAACCTATCCTCTCTTTTCAAATAATTAAAAAACCAAACTAAACCCAAAGTTAAGGCATTCTATTATTGATGCCACGTCTTTAAGTGCCTTTGAAATCTTGCTAAGAGTAAATCTCAGGCCACTGAATAAAAAACTGTTTCATCATGTGAACACCTCATTTTTGACACAATGAATTTGCAGATACTTTTATCACTTTTTCTATCTTTTTTTAAAAAATATATTTTATTGATTTTTTACAGAGAGGAAGGGAGAGGGACAGAGAGTTAGAAACATCGATCAGCTGCCTCCTGCACATCTCCCACTGGGGATGTGCCCGCAACCCAGGTACATGCCCTTGACCGGAATCGAACCTGGGACCCTTCAGTCCCCAGGTCGACGCTCTATCCACTGAGCCAAACCGGTTTCAGCAACTTTTTCTATCTTTTAAAGTTAGATGTACATGGCTCCTGAGTGATCAAATGAAATAAAGACATCTTAAAATAATAAAAGAAAATTGACATCACCAGGAATTTTAAAAATTTATGCTTTAGTTTTTAAAGAAATGTTTTTAAAATAAATCTTTATTCTTGGAACATATTGGGATAAGTGTACAGTCATTCAAGGTGACTAACAAAAATCCTCAGTTCTATTTGTTAAAAGATCAATCAGGGTAACATAAATTTGTATTATCATAGGACATAGGTTTGAGTAGTGTAATGAGCTAGGGTTACCTTTAGAGAGCCTCCGACTCTACACAGACAACTAAAGTCTTTCTAGTCCTGGTGTCAGTCAATCGCTGGGTTGGGCCCTGGTTCCTACTGCATCTACATTCCGTGTGGACCTGCAGCCTCTTCAGCGGCCAGAGAGCAGATCTGCTGACATTTCCTTAGGCTCCACTCTGCACAGAACAGGGACAGGACCATGTGGGTAAATCTATAATAATAAAAGTGTAATATGCTAATTAGACTGGGCAGCCAAACGACCTTCCGGACATCCTTCCAGGCATCCTTCCGGATGAGCCGGGGCTGTGAAGGCCGAGGCAAGCCACTGCGGCTGTGAGGGCTGAGCCCCTTGCACAAATTTCGTGTATCAGGCCTATCAGGCATCTAGTAGAAAAATAAAAGAAAATAGAAATTCCAGTGTTAGCTATGGAAAAACTGAATAAATAACTTCTAGATTCAATGTTGAGATGAGATTTCAAGATGCAGAAAGGAGGTTAAATGAGATAACTTTTCAATTCTCTTTTAAGGTAACAGCAGGCTCAGACATTTCCTTCCAGGCCAGTAATAGTGTTCTGTCTGTGCCTCTAATTTTTTAAAAATATTTTTTCATGTGTTGTATGCAAAAATGAAGGTGTGTCTGTGCTGCAAAGAGCCTGCCCATTCCATGGCCCTGGAATTGGAGCCTCTTACCGACTTTGTTTCTTTCAATAGTGTAAAGCATTGCTTTTGGGAAGCCCAAGGAAAATATCTTAGAATCTGAAATGATACCCATTAGTTATTTCATTTTTCTAACACTGTAGTTTTGAGAGTGCTTCAATTCTACCATTCTGACACTGATTTGGCTTCTTACAGGGTTCATTTGGCTTCTGCCTTCCTTGACTAACTTTTGTCTATAGTATAGACTCTATACTGTTTGCTCTATTCCTCTGCGGGGATCCAAGATAGCAAAGAGAAGTGGAAAAACTTAAAAAAAATTCTCAGTGGGGAAATATTTAAAGGGATAAGTTAAAGTAAAGAGTTGAAAGGAAGAGTGAGTCTGATTTTGTGGATCTCTTTTGGTGTCTGCACTTTAATAACTCTCTGACATAACTCAGTCTCGGTGGGGGACACCATTCACAGAAATGCATTAAAGATGACCATTTCCGACCAGTGTATTAGTTCTTATTAGTTAAACCTTCTCTTACTTTTTTTCAGTAAATGCTATAAGAGAACTCCATGGAGTAAAGAAGTATGAAGTGGTTTACCCCAGAAGACTTCATCCACTGTATAAACGAGAGGTCAAGAAGCCACATCAACAGGTACAGCTTTTGATTTAACAGAGACAAAAAAATCTTGAATATATATATATATATATATATATATATATATATATATATATATATAAAATACACATACATACAATATATAAATGCACATGGTGTACATAGAAATATACAATTATATTTAACATAGAAATACATATACACATATGTTCACATTTGTATTTGATTTTTTGACCTGTTATACTTATTAATCTTTAACACTTGGAGTGCGGGAAACGAGTTAAGTCGGCTCGCGTGAATTGCGCGTACTCCGCGGGAGCCGTCTTAACTCGGTTCATATAGATTTGCGGTGGAGTGCGGGAAACGTGTAAACTCGGGCCGATTGTAACTGCGTATTACCAAATATTTGTTTGTTTGCCGTTCACAAAGATACCTACCTGCATATGCGAACCGTTTCATACCCATTGGGGTAATAGGTATCATAAAAATCCCTTGTAAGTAGAGAACACTTTATGGCGCTGGTCGAGTACAATACCGTTAGGGTACCAATGTATTGTTTTCTCATTTTATAACCGATATCCCTGGATATCTCACCATGCAAAGAGAATAGTTATTGAGAAATACTTCTTGTGTCCGGACGTCTTTAGTTTTGAGTTTTGTGAATATTATTACGTGTTTAAACTAACTCTGATTTTGCGCTGGAAACCTAAATAATTGCCCGCGCCATCTTATATTTTGGCGGGAAATTCACCCGACACCGTAGTTAAAATAGTGTAATATTCTACCTTATTTTTCAGATTAAGGTTCTGATGGTTAAATTAAACCGTCCAAGGTTACAGTGAGAGGAAAATTTAACATTCTTATGGTCATATATAATTTATTCTGTGTACTCACAAAGAAATTTGATACAATTCATTATCTCTCTATTTATACACACACATATAAACAAAATCATGAACTTTAAAACTGGTGTAGAAAATAAAGTATTGTGGATAAATGCATGCATATATGCATACCAAGATTAATTACTGTAATTAAACATGACATTTTCCTCTGTCCTTTCTAAAAAGGCAGCTATTAAAGTCTGTATAATTCTTACTAATTAATGGAATGATACATTCTCAGTCAAAAGAGGAAAGCTACAACATAATGATTCATTCAACAATAATTTTCTAATTCCCTACTCTTTTGTGGGGCATCAGGAAAGCCCAGATATATGAGACATAAATAATAACTTGCATCCTCTATTGTCTATTGTGAGATGGAAGCTCATATTCCCCCCTGGATAATGCCAGATACCTTTCTTCACTGAATATTTGGAGAACAATTTGAGTACATGTCCAGTGTTTTTCATCACAGTTATATAGCGAGTTCCTCATAACCATAAAAATAAATTTAAGCTTCCGAATAATCTATCTTGATGAAAAACCATAAAGTAGTTATTGGCACATACTAGATGTTAACCAATTTGTTAAATGATTGAGTAGATGAATGCAATGCACTTGATATTTACTGCAAATGCATATTTATCTAGTCAGCGGTTCTGTTAACTGGCAGTATGAAATTATGGTTTCCTGATCCCTAGGGAAAGTGCAAAGGATCTGAATTCAAAGGGCCTGTTTGTGTTCATGCCTTAGCTTTGTTAATCTTCCCTGTGTAAATTTAGGCACACAGGAACTTCAAATTCTTTGTGTGAAAAGTAAGATGACAACAACATTAGTGCTTATCTCATATGGCTATTTTGAGGTAATTATACAAAAATCAAAGCAGGATGCAATAATTAACTCCCTGTTCAAGTTTTGCTCTGATGCTATCCTATGTAACCTATCATATTCTATTTCATATGACCAACTTTTAAGGTATTTTATATTTAATGCAATGGCTTATTAAGCCATTTTGTTATCTTCCAGCTTCTCAGCATAACTTCCTTTTTAGTCTCCCTGGGTATCCTGAAGGCCTTTCTTAAAAATATGCGTGCATAGCTTGTATGCCCTTTCTTATGGAGTTCTTGAATTAAAGTTTTTTTTAAAATATATATTTCATTGATTTTTTTTTTTTACAGAGAGGAAGGGAGAGAGATAGAGAGTTAGAAACATCGATGAGAGAGAAACATCGATCAGCTGCCTCCTGCACACCTCCTACTGGAGATGTGCCCACAACCAAGGTACATGCCCTTGACCGGAATTGAACCTGGGACCTTTCAGTCCGCAGGCTGACGCTCTATCCACTGAGCCAAACCGGTTATGGCTTGAATTAAAGTTTTTAAATTAAAATTTTAAATCCTCACCTGAGAATATGGGAGAGGGAGAGGGAGAGGGAGAGGGAGAGGGAGAGGGAGAGGGAGAGGGAGAGGGAGAGGGAGAGGGAGAGGGAGAGGGAGAGGGAGAGGGATCCCCCGGCCAGGTATTCGAACCCATTCAATTCTGTATGCTGACCTGGAATTGAACCAGTAACTTTTCGATGCGTGGAACTATGCTCAACCAACTAAGCCTCTCTGGCCAGGCCATCTTACATTCTTTGTGATAGATAGATCCCTTTTCTAAAGTCATGCTTTAGTCATGGTCAATGTTATACCATTTGGCTCTGGATTTTTTTTTCTGTCTATCTTATTTTAGTGGTGATGTGTGTAGTGTGTGTGTTTCTATGAGAGTGTATGTATTTGTTTTCTGGTTTGAAACTGCCCAGGTCAACAAGAAAAGTGTTTTCTATGTTTTTGGCATGTCTCTGTCCCTCTTTCACCCTCATCTCTCAGTCCCTGTCCTGTAGATTTAGTAAATAAAAATGCAGAATATCCACTTAAATGTGAATGTCAGATAAACCATTAATGCTTTTTTACTATAAATATTCTCCATTATATGGGGCATTCTGATATTGAAACGTTATTCACTGTTTATCTGGCATCCTTATTTCACTGGTGTCCTGTATTTTATCTGGCAATCATACATGTGGCTTTTGTCATCTCCCTGTGAACATCTAGAAACATACCAGAGATGTCTCTCTGGGATTCCAGCTCTTGTCCCCCTTGTCCCCTCTAAAATATAAGACCCCAGGCTGCTGCATGTCTGATATTTCAATCCTGCCCTGTCAGGGTTGCTGATTTCTGCCGTATCACACTTGTCTACTAAACATGTCTAGAAAAGCTAGTGGCATCCTATCTGCCATGCAGGCACATTCTTTTCCCTAACATAGAATATTCTCTTTTTGCTCAAGTACAGATTATGACTAATAAAAATACTGCCATCGATATAAGCCAAGGTCTTGGAGGTTATTCTTGTGGATTCTGTATTGAGACTATTGGTCTTTCTTGTGCAAAGAACTGATGAGCAATTACTTGAAACATCCAGAATTCATAATGTATGTGACCAAGGGGATCTCTGCATCCCGTTGATGCCCCCTAGGTCTCAGGCTAGATTAACCATGTCTCATGTACTTATTATTATAAAGGTCTGTCCTCTACTGGACCAGAGACTCAGGCACCAGTGTTACCTGTCAGCTGTGCCTGAAGCTTGGCTCCATTTTCCTAAGTTTATCGTGACTGACTATTTAACTTGCAATTTGAGTTGGAATAAAATAATCCTTTGAAAACTTTCTGGAGGGGCCACTAAACATCAGGATAGAACCTTGAATGTTTTATTCGTGATTATAGATTAGATTCATTATTGTATTTTATATACACAGCATAGGGGAACTAAATAAGTATTTGAATAAATGAACAAGTGAATAAGTAGATAGATGGACAAATGAATAAAGGAGTATAACTGGAGTACATTGCCCAAACAGCTGCATAAACATTTACTCAACAGATACTTAACCAAAGTCCCTGATGTTGGGAACTTATATTCAAAAGGTGGTCACTATTCTTCCTAGAATTCAGCCTCCAGCTCACACACTTCCTAGAGGCCAAAACTGTCTTGCTTTTGGCTCATGCCATAAAATAAAATATCTGGCAGCATAATGCTTCCTCTTATTAGGAACAATTTTAGACCTTAGCTAGGTCCACCAGGGTTTATAAAAGTCTCAGATTTTCTGTATGGCAAGGCATGAATTAAGATCTTCCCTGGAACCTGTAGGGTTTCTTTTGCTAGTTCACGTGTGCCCATGGGCATCATCTTGATCTCATAGATCTACACATCTGCTCATATTTTGGATCATCCAGGACTATGGCCTTCTTACTCCACACTCTAAACCATAGTCATGGCATTTTTTTCTGGAGAAAATTATTTACACACACACACACACACACACACACACACATCGGTGACCAACTAAACTCATTCAATAGACTTCACATCATTTCCTTCTAGTGGATTCTCTCCAAAGCAAGGTGCATTTCCCCTCTCCTAACCCTTAGGTTAGAACCCAGATAGAACACAAATTGGGCACAATCCCTATTAACTGGCATTGCTCTTCACTGTGGACTTGTACTTGAGAAGTAGTTATAACCTTGCCCAGTGCACCCTCTTTCATACAGACTCTGGTTTTCTTCCCTGCTGTTGCCTTTCATCCAAAATCTATATACTAGTGTCAGCTAAAACTCCCATTCCAAAAGCAATGATTATTTTCTAAAACAGCCTCTAAATAATGTTTTAGGTGAAGCTCCACTAAAACTCCATTGCCAATAGAAGCAGATATCTGGAAGGTTCTTCTGATTAGAAGCTCATATCTTGTATCTTCCTAATATTTTTATTCTATACTAGGGGCTCAGCACACAAATTGGTGCACCTTGAAAGGAACTGTGGGCTGTGAGCCTGGGGTGGGCACAGGGTCAGGTCTCGGCCCATCCTCTGCGCTCCTGACTGTTCCCACCACAGCCCCCAGTCCCCTGTCTTCCGGCAGCCCCTCTCCCACTGCCGCTGTTTCCATGCACTGATGGCAGCACTGGCCCTGCTCACAACCACTGATGGAGCAGAGCGATTGGGCCGGCACCAGCCGCGGGTGTGAGCGGGTCCTGCAGGGGGAGGTGGAGAAGCCCTCAGGGGCAATTGGGGCTGGCAGCCACTGTTTGAACCCGCTGATGGTGACAAACGATCAGGACTGGTGCCAGGCACCAGCAGCCGGTGCAGGTGGTGGCTCCAGTACCAGCTGCAGGTGTGAGCAGCGGCTCTGGAGCCGGCAGCGGGTGCGAGAGGCGGCTGCTAGCCCCTATTGCCCCTAAGGAGCAAGGGGAGGGGGAGAAGCCCTTAGGGGTGATCAGGGCTGGCAGCTGCCCCTCGCACCCACTGACAGCGCCGAGCGATCAGGATTGGCACCAGGCACTGGCAGCGGGTGCGACTGCCCGGCAGGATCATGGCTCATGGGAGCAAATAATTTTTAGTAAGCACCAGAGGCTCGCCCCAATGACAGTGACCAGTACCCCGCCTTGGTCTGGTGCTCCAGCTCACCTGCTCCACCATCCCACCCCAGCCAGTGCCCGCCATGTTCCGCACACACCCCCTGGTGACCAGCACACGTCATAGCCACCAGTTGTTCGGTTGTTTCACCGTTGGTTCTATTTGCATCTCAGGGTTTTATATATACAGATGGCCTTTCTAACCAGTGGTTAGAGCAATTCCCCATGGATTTATTTTTCATCCTCAGGATTTTTCCCACCTCCTGTTATTTATGAAAATGAACTAAGTTACAGCAGCCTCCCCACCATTAGGCCCACAGTATAAGATATTTATAGTCATACACTTTTGACCCCAGGGAAGACACCAATAATTGATAATTAAAAAGAAATATGGGCCAAAATACCTGACCTTGGAGATGGTAAATCTCTGCATAATATCCCTGACCTGATGGGTCTAATTCACTATTGTCCCTCAATGAGCTCTGGTACTGTTGTGGCCAGGAGAGGGAAGGGAGAAGAAAAGTTGGCTTAGGTGCAACAGCAGAGAGAAGAGCACTCAGTCCATCATAAGTGGTTCTCAATCACATGTTGTCACCATTTTTAGATCTCTTTAATAGCAATGTCTTGGCACTTTCCAGTGAATTTTTAGATGTTGTGTGCAACCATGACTAGTAACCTAGTTTTATACAACAAAACCAAAACTCAATACCCAATGCGATTTTTAAAGTACCCTGTATAGTCCTCTATAGTTCTTCCCGTAGACATAAATTGAAACTTAAGATAGTTCTCCTAATCCACATGGTTTACTTGAGGTGATATTTTTCTTTCTCTGAATACCTGAGACTCTTTTCTTCCTGATGGCTTCTTCTTGCCCTAGGGTGCATATTCTTGTTGGTTTTGCCCATATTCTGACCTCCGCTTAGCCTTAAGAAGATCTCACACTAAAAAGCATCAGTGAGATCCTTAAAGGTCTTTGGGTCTGTGGGCAAACTAATCCTTCTCAAATAATTTCCCTATCCTGCTTCACCTGGCTAATTCATATCTCAGCTCATGCATTACTTCCTCAGGAAAACCTTCCCTTCCTTTAAGATGTTAGACATCCCACATTGCCTCCATATTTATATCATTTATCATACAACATAACTCACAGTTATTGTCTGTTTTTCTATAAGCTTTATGACAGCAAGTACCAATTTTTATTGCTTCGAGTTGAGTTTCCAGAACCAAGCCATATCTTGCAAATAACCAGCACTCAAATAATATTTGTAAGATGCATGAATGGGTAAATGAATGGATGGATGGAGGAAAAGATGGATGTATATAAAAGTCTCACATAATTTATCTACTTAGTTGGCAAAGTTGTTAGATTTGTTAAGAGAGGCAGAAGCAGATATTTGGCATTATACACACTAATGTTAAGGAAAAGCAGGAGTTGCTTGCTAATGATTAAACAGATAGACCTAGCAAAATAAATATTTGTATGTGTGTTTTAATTGCCAGCAAATGTTTTTACATTTTTGCAGGAAAAATATGAAACTGAATTGAAGTATAAAATGACAGTTAACGGGAAAATGGCAGTGCTTTATTTGAAAAAATCCAAGTAAGTGTCTTTACTTCTGATATAATCCTCACCAATAGCTAATGAGCATGTGGGAAGTATGCTAATTGAGTCTGTTATTACTTATGTCTCACGTAAACCCTGGCTAATCAGCTTTTGCTCTCAACTGGCCCAAGAGGTACAATGAATATTTGCTCCTACTGAAGGAGTAGACACATATTGGGTAAAACAACCGTTTACAAGTATTTTGATAGTTCTAGGAATAAAACAAACTAAATGAGGTGCAAGCAGACATACATTTTATCAAATTCAATGAAATAATTATAGATTTCTAACTCTTCCCCTACACTATTTCATTTTATTATTCTAACACTGAAAGATTAGATTTTAAAGCAATTTGCAACCATTTTCACTGGTAAAAAAATAAGACATATAAAAGTTAAATAAACTCTAGGGCCAAAGAACCCAGTCAATGGTAAAACCAGAGTTGGGCTCTCCTGATTTCAACACCAATGCCCTTTCTACTCAGCTGCCCACTAACCCATCCATTTCTCTCATATGTTACATTAGGCTCGTACCTCTCCATCCAGTTTATTAAATTTAACGTTTCTTATCAAGTTTCACTGCCTAAGCTCTTACCCAAATCCTGATTACCCTATAGATACACTGTTTTAAAAGCAATTTCCTAATGTGTGCTTTCAATTTATTTCAATCCCTCAATTCTTCTATATAGGACAGCAAGATAGACAAATAGAATATCACCTTTTGCAAAAAAAAAAAAAATCACAACTGTCTGGAGTTTGGAAATAGTGTGCTGTAATGGAAGGAATACAGGCTTGGGATTAAGGCAGACCTAAACATGATTCTATGCCACTTGAACTATTTAATCTCATCCAAACAATAGAGAATAATATTTATTTTGTAGGATTGTTGAAAAGATTATATTAAATGACTCATGTAACAAGTCTAACCCAGTGGCCAGTACAGAGATAGCACTTAATACACAGTCATTACGTCCTTTTCTCTTTGCCCTACCTCTTTTAAAAATATAGTCAGGCTCCTATTTTCTAGAGAGTAATTGAAAGGATCTTAAGAAGGCTCGGCAGAAATGCTGGGAGGACCCTAACTGCCAAATGCAAGGGAATTTTCAATAAACTTGAACAGTCACCGGTGACTGAAGGGCTAGGGGAAATGCAGTTACCTTAAACTGGTGAGGAACAGCACTTTTTCAGCCACTTTTTACCAACTTTCCCCTCAGTTTCATTTCTTCCTCAAGTCTTTCTTCAGGCCAGGAAGCAAAGTCGGACAACAAAGCCGACATTGTTCCCTACGACCCACGACTCCCTGAACTTGTAAGGGGTTGGGACGAGGTCCTCAGGAATTAGAACTTCACTGCACACCCAGGGAAAGCTCTCACTTTGATCACTGAACTTTGTAATTAGCATGAGTAACTATGACTTTTTTCTTTGTCTCCAGGGATCTCCTGGCACCAGGCTACACGGAAACACATTATAATTCCACAGGAAAGGAGGTCACCTCCAGCCCACAGATCATGGTAAGATGGAGTATCCTAGATTTATTGTTAATTGGGGTACGACCCACACATCCGAATGCAGTCATGGACAAACAAGGAGTGAAAGGGAAGCAGCATGTAGAGCATCAGTGCTTTATTTAATAGTAATTTCTTTCTTTTTTAAATATATTTTTTAAATTGATTGCTAGAGAGAGAGGAAGAGAGAGGGATAAAGAGATAGAAACATCAATGAGAGCGAAACATCATCGATCAGCTGCTTCCTGCTCACCCCCTTCTGGGGACCTTGGCATGTGCCCTGACTGGGGCAGGGCGGGGCGGGGGAGGTGGTCAAACTGAGATCTCCAGGTTCCTGGGTCGATGCTCAACCACTGAGCCACACCAGCCAGGCTAGTAGTAATTTCTTGATTGATCCTCCATCATTTGGAGAGCTTGACAAAAACAGTCATTCCTTTACAAACATGGTTACCCTTTCCAGCCTTCAAGGTCTCTCTATAGGAAAGTGGACAGAAGGAGCTTCTTATTTTCATTAGAAGAGTAGAAAATTACATATGATCACTAAATCATCTAGTCTCTCAAAGTCCAGACTATTTCCTCAATGTTAGAATTATAAAATTATGCAGTAGCACAGGGGTTTACATAGGCCAATATTTCATCTTTCCAAAAGTAGAAAGGTCTACTTGATGGGAGCACAGACACAAGAAAAAGGGTGAGCGTTGTGCATTGTGCTGATGGAGGCAGAGCGTGCTGTACTAATCCAATTAGTCTGGTGAGACTTTAGATAAATCAAGAAATAACACATTCATTGGGAAAAACTCATACTTGTTAAAAAAATAATGAGTGGTTGACTGATTAGTCAAAGAAAGGAATAAATGTCTAATGTTTTAGGAGCTCAGGTTTTAAACATACATCTGTTTGTTGCTCCCAGGCTGTATTCAACCTGTTTTCCTTTATCTGCAACACAAACATTTACACCAACGTTTAGTTAGCAATCTGTAAGCATTTGGGATCATTACCTAAATATTAAAGATTTCAACCATAAAAAACTTAAAAAATGTTTTTACTATCTTTAAGTTGATTGTTATTCAGCATAAAATGACTTTAAAGCATTATAGATCCTATTTCAAAATTTCAATTTTAAATGTAGCAATGGTCTAAAAAACATGCACACTTTCCTTTATAAAATCCCTTTTCTCTTTTCTTTAGGATGACTGTTATTATCAAGGACATATTATTAATGCAAAAATTTCTGAAGCTAGCATCAGCACATGTAGAGGTCTAAGGTAAGACTTCATGAATAATTTGTATGCATCTTTGATGATTGGGTGTGTATATATGTTTAATAAACCCAAAGAAATGTGGAACATCTGTAATAGTGCCAACAATAATATATCTTATATAATAAAAGCCTAATATGCTAAGTGTCTGGTCGCCCGGTCAACTGTTCAACCAATCAAAGCATAATATGCTAATGATATGCTAAGGCCACTCAACTGCTCACTATGATGTTCACTGACCACCAGGGGGCAGATGCTCCAAGCATTAGGTTAGCTTGTGCTGGGGTCCAGCTGATTGGGACTGAGTGAGATGGGCTGGACATGCCCTGGAGCCTTCCTGTGGTCCCTCCTCACTGGCCAACCTCCCGCATCCTCCCCAGCCCCGATCATGCACCAGTGGGGTCCCTTGACCTGGCCTGTGCCCTCTCACAATCCAGGACCCCTTGGGGGATGTCAGAGAGCCGGTTTTGGCTTGATCCTGCAGGCCAGGCTGAGGGACCCCACTGGTGCATGAATTCATGCACCGGGCCTCTAAAATATATATATATATATATAATGTTACTGTAGGGAAATATGAATTCTAAGGACTAAAAATTTTTAAATTTGAAGGAAACATGACCCCTCTTGATAGTAGTTTATAAATTAAAAACCTGAATTGCTTTCTGAGTTGCTTTTCTTTGATTGGTTGCTTGCTTTCAAAATATAGGTTTTGTGTCCCAATTTTAAAGTCAGAGCCTTTAGGAAAGGGGAGCTCCTCTTCACCTTCTCTCTTTACTCTAAAATCTCTAGTTTGTCCTGTCCAGGCTTATCCATTTTTTTCTCTGTACTAAGGACTCCCCATGTGTCTGTCAATAATAAGATATCCAGACTTCCCATACCCAGACTTGAATATCTAATTTTTTCTTTCTTATCTCCATATCTCTTCCATATCTGTATATCTTAATGAAATCTTAATGAAGCTAGTGATTTTCTCTAAATCTGGTATTTTTCCAGTGTTTCTTATCACAGTAAATAATCAACCAACTACTTGCCCAATACAGAAATCTAGGTTCTTGATGACTTATTGCCTTTCAACTACCTATTTTAATCCATTATCAGGCCTTATTGATTATATGTTCTAAATATTTTCTGAGATTATTCACTACATTCTCTCTCTACTGCCACATTATGCAGACGAATGCAATCAATTCCCCAATTTATCTCTCCTGTCACCTCTTACTCTTCTAATTCTATGTATAATAAATCCATTTGCCCTATTGTATGTTCTTGTGCTTTTCTTCTTAGAAATTATCTGCTATAATTATGTATATTACATATATGTCATATAATTATATATATTTGTGGGTCAAATGTAATTATTTAATCAACATCTATCTTCCTCATTTGAACATAAGCTCTATGAGAGGAGAGACAATGACTCTCTTTACCACCTGCCTCTAGTTCAATGCTTAATGAATAATGGGTGTTCCCTAAATATGGTCCAATGAATCTTAGCTTGGGGCTTCAGCAGAGAGAATTAAGATGAAATTGGCATTATTCATTGATCATATGCTTTGCATATTATCTCCTTCAATTTTTATAACCATTCTATTGTATGTATTATTATTCTCATTTTATAGATAGAGAAAATGAAGCTATGTGAGTTTAAGTAATTTCCCATGGTATTACCACTAATAAGTGATAGGCCCAGAGTTTTAACCCTTATATATAAGACTACAGATCTTCCATTTTCAGAACACCTGAGAACAGACAAGGCAAGGGAATTAGAAGAACACTGGACCAAGAGTCAGGAAATTTTATTCTAGTGCCAACTCTGACTTAGGTTAGCTATATGACATTGCAGAAGTCATTTCTCCCCCATAGGTTCCATTTCCTCATAGAGAGAATAAGTCTGGATAATTTCTAAGGGGATCTTCAGCTGTAATGTTACACTGTGTTCTACTGCCATGAGCTTAGAATGTTTTGGCAATGGTAACTCTAAGTCTATTGCACTCAAATGCAGAAATATTTTTTAAGAAGCCTGGACTCTCACGTTTTTTAGGGGCTACTTCAGTCAGGGAGATGAAAGGTACTTCATTGAACCTTTAAGCCCTGCAAATCAGGATGAACAGGAGCATGCACTCTTCAAGCATGATCCCGATGAAAAGAAGGCTCCCAGCACCTGTGGGATGGATGACATGATATGGGCACATACATCTCGGAAGAATGTGACCCCACCTGCCACCAGTCTGGTCGTATGCATACCTCTATTTTCATTTGGAACACTCTCATCTATTCTGTCCTGTCTGCCCTGGGTTCTAGTCTTAGCAACTGCACATTGCTGAAACTTTACAGTCATTGTTGAAACTAATAGGTTATAGAGACATTAAAACCTTATTGCACATTGATTTATTTAATTTAATAAGTACTTATGGATCAACTAGGAGCAGGCAACTTTCACAATACTCTAACATACAGCAACAGTGTAAAGTATTATTATTACTTTGAGGTAAAATATCCTGCTGTCTTCATGAATGAACTCATTCAACAAACCCTTCTTCAAGTACTGCCATAGGTGCTGAGGATGTGGCAGTGAGGAAGGTAAATATAGGATCTGTCCACGGCAGGTTAGAATGTGCTTTCATATATGGAATCCAACTTTCAGTTACAAAAGATCATCTCTTATAAACATTTGGGGAACCCATAAGCAGTGGGCAGAATTGGTCCCAATAAAATAAAATCTCTGTTGGGTTCAATGTGCTGGGTGTTTGCTAACAGCCAGAACCACTTTTACCTGAATGCTGATCTCCTGGTTTAGCTGGTACAGACCTCTTGTCTCTGTCTCAATTCCTTGCTAATCATGTGCAAATAACCATGCTTCCATTCTCTCTCTCTCTCTCTCTCTCTCTCTCTCTCTCTCTCTCTCTCTCTTTCGTTTTCCTCCTACCTCACCAATGCTATGCCTTCTCAGTTCCTCTCACTGTTATCCTTCCTCTAAATAACGGAGGCCCTCATAATGCCCATCTGATATGTCTGTGTTTATTTGCCTATTGTGAGATCCTTCAGTGCACAGCCCATGTCTATTTCACTGCTATATTCCTAGTGCCCAGAGCGTTGTTGGTGCACAATAATTGCTAATGAATTTATTGCTCCCATGGAGGGTGGGAGGTAAGTATTATCATTAGATAATAGCTAAAAGTCTACCTTCAGGACTCTTTTTTGTTAATGGAAACTTATTTACCCGTTAAAAGACAAGCACTTCTAGAAATGCAACATAATAAACTTTGATGGTTTATTATTTAATACAAATAATGTCTGCTACTTTTCAATGGGACAATCACTATGAAATATGTTTTCATTGTTGTTATTTTGTTTTATTGTGGAGAGAAAGGAACAGACAATAGGGAGGCTTAGAATGTAGGAAAGAGATCCAGCTCTTTCTGGGAAGAAAAGGACAGACTAGGTGTCATGTGGCTTTGGGCATGGCACCATTGGTAAAGAAGGGAGTGTTCACTGGAACAGGAATAAAAGGATACTCAACGACAACAAAAACACAAGGAGGACCCTGAAGTCAAAGTTTGTCTATTTCATAGCAGGACAGTGGGAACGTCCACTGTTCAAAAACCTCTGAACACTTTTAATTCCAGCATTCCTATTTACTAGTTGTGTAATCACTTTGTTTGGTAAAACAAAGGGGTTGGGCTAGCATATCGCTGACATCTCTCCTAGCCCTGACATTCTGAGCCTGTCTATAGATAATTCTGGCTTATTAGCTAGAATTAACATCATAATCTTATCTTCCTTTATCCCCAGACAACAACCAATCTCATAAAAGAAAGAATCTTGCAGAGAAAGATCTTGTCTTAGTAATTTTTCTTGTTATATTGATTGCAGAAATTAAGTGACCATGACCGGAAAGTTTGGGAACAAAAGAAATACATAGAATATTACTTGGTCCTGGATAATGGTGAGGTAACTATATCAATAAATATGCCTTTTATAATCCCCTCCTACCTTAACTTATTATGTGAGTATTAGCTCTATGGATTGGTTTTTAAAAATCATGATTATGAGTAATCCTTTTTTACCAATTGTTCTGAACCTATGAAAAATTTGACATGTAATTAGACTGATATGATTTCTTCTTTCCAGGAATGGGCACTGGATATGAAATGCATGCAATACATTTTTATACTCGAATGTCCTTTCTTTTTATCTTAAGAGCTCCAGACTCAGTTTCCAATTAAATTTCTTTGTCATTTTGGCTTCTGTTTACTAGTTAAGTCATCGGTAAATTAGTATTTATGCTCATAAGGAAGTGGTAAACATAAAGGACTAATGAATAGGATCTTCTGGGGGAAAAGCGCTTTCTTATAATACTCATTGTCTAACTTCTTTTATAAGAATGCATTTTCATATATTGTGTGTTCTAAATCTGAGACCCACATGTATGATCTCAAAGGAAAAATTCTGTACTTTGATAACACAAGTTAATTAGTTCAGACTCTAAAACTTTGACCTCTCTTATTATACTAAATTCATTTACTGTTCATAATTTTTTAAGGAATAATCTATTCCTGGCACTGATTCTGCACAGATTAGGGAATCATGGTATTTAGCTGAAATACATTTGTAATAAAATCTTAAAGCTTTACACTGAGTTAGTACTTTAGGGGACGAAACATCATCTCTATTCCTAAAATGCTTTAATATGGTCAGAAAAATAAGGAAGCATTTATTTCTAACTTTTTGTAACTGATCATGGATTATAAACACTGATAAGTAAAATAAACTGAGAATGTCTTTATTTTTAAACCTTCCCATTATGTTTATTCCTATCAATGCCCATTTTTTTTTCCGTCTCGGTTGTCTTTTAGTTTAAAAAGTACAATCAAGATCCAGAGAAAATAAGAAAGAGGGTGTTTGAGATGGCCAATTACGTCAACATGGTATGATATTTATTTCGATGTAATTTTAACTCTTGCTAGGCAGTAACATTGGGTGTTTCTGTGAGTACTCATGAAGCAGGGAAAGAAAGTCAACATTCTTAAGACTAATACTGATGACTGCCTCTAGAAGGGTGACCATGACCTTTGCTACTTAATTAAATATTAATATTACAGGACAGAGACATTTCTCACCTATTTGTCACACTAGTCACAGCTCCTTGAAGGTATACAAGGTGTCTGCATGGTTTTTCTTTTCCCAAAGCCCAGTATAAAAATTCTGACAAACAAGTCTCAAGGGAAAGCCAATCACGGGAAGAAAATAAAACAAGCAAAATAAGGCAAGCTGTGGCACAATAACATCTTTCAATACATTATATCATTGAATCATCAAACAACACTAAAATATTATCAAACCTAATTTATAGCAAAGAAATCAGATTCTGAGAAGCAAAGTAACTTTTCTAAAATCACAAAATTAGAAAAATGATAGAAATAAAATTTGAACTTAGATTGGTCAGATTTCAAGCCCATTTTGATTACATAATTGCTGATCTGTTCTTTAAACATGATTTTATAATCTAACCTTTTTAAAAGATTTAAATATTAATATTTAGTTTATTACTTGAACATACAGTTAGCCTGCTTAGTTGAAAAGGGTCGGTCACTTTGTGGTGTCCTACACATCATCTAAGGATAGAAAGAAAATAAAGGTGGATTCAGTGACCAAGGTCCTATTTTGTCTTCTCACCACAAAGATCATGGGTGACTCACTCCTTCTTAAGGAAACCCCCAGTACTGGGCCATATTTTTTGAGCATCTACTTTGGTGCCAGGTACTTTTTTGAGATTACAGAATAAGTGAGAAACAAAAATGAACAAATATCCTTTGCCTCAGGGAAGTTTACATTTTTGTTTAAGGAGACAAATAAATCATATAAAGAGTATGTAGGATGGGTGATAATTGCTATAAAGAAAAATAAAGCGAGAGAGAAAAGAGAGAGAGAGAGAGAGAGAGAGAGAGAGAGAGAGAGAGGAGAGATTCATCTTAGGTGCTATGTGAAATAGGAGGCCTCTCTAATAAGGTGACAATTGAGTAGAGACTTGAAGGAATTCTCTCTGACCCTAATGGCAGGTGTGCAAAGCAGAGCAAAGGACCTGAGGGCAGAACCTAGATTGTCATGTTTGAGGAACAGTGGAAAGACCACTGTGGCCAGAATGTAGTAAACCAGAGCAAGGGTGAGAGGAGATGTCATCTGACAGGTAGCAGTGGCCCAAACCTGAAGGCCTGGTGGTTCTGTGTAAGGATGTCATGAGTGAGGAGAACATTGGGAGCCTGAGGTATGACATGGTCAGACGTGTGTTCTTAAAAGATGAACTTGGCCATTGTGTTGAAAATAAAAGGAAGGAAAGCAAGGGCAGAAACAAGATGAGACGGGAATTATGCCATAATTCAGGCAAGAGATGATGGTGGTTTGAGAAAAAGCAGTGATTATGGGTCTATTGAGAATAGCTAACAGGGTTATGACATGTGTGGAGATAAGAATTACAAAAATATAAAAGAGAAGAGTCAAGTGACATAAAGGGTTTTGACTTAATGAACAAGGAATGGGGGAAAACAGTAGGGGATGGTGACTCAGAGGACAGATTAGGATTTCCATTTTGGACAAATTAACATTGAGATATCTTTTTGTATAAAGATTTCCAGGTAGAAATGCTGCAAATATAAGATTGGAGTGCTATGTAAATCTGTAAGATATAAATCTGTAAGTCCCCAGCACATATAGAGAAGGCACGGGTCAGAAAACTGTAGCCTGTGTACCAGATCCATCCTGCTGCCTTTTTACAAAATAAAGTTTTAGTGAAACACAGCCACCCCCATTTGTTTGCACAAGGTCTGTTTTGCTGCTTTCCTGATACAATGCTGGAGGTGGTGAATAGTTTCAACCCAGAGTACACGGCCTCAAAGCTTAAGATATTTTCTATCTAGACCTTTCTAGAAATAGTTTGCCAAGAAACTGTTGGTGCAGGCTCACCAAGGGTGTGGGCCTAGATAAGTAGAAAAGAAACCCAAAGACAGATCATTGAAGTACTTCTCTGAGGAGAGATTAGAGTGGAGGAGACACTGATAGAGACCAAGAAATAGTAGATAGTGAGGCAGGAGGAAAACCAGGAGAGAGTTGTTCTTCTAGAAGCTACTTGAAACAGAAATCTATAAAAGGAAAAATGATCAAAGATTGTAGATGCTTCTGAGCACTAAGGATTGACCATTGCATTTAACAAAGTAGAGGTTATTGGTCACCTGGAGATGCAAGTTTCTGTGGAGTACAACAGTAAATCAGGATTAGAGTGAGTCCAGAGACAGTGAAAGAAGTGAAATTAGAGACAGCAAATATGGAAAATTCTCCCCAGAAGTTGCTATAAAGGGGAACAGAGAAATGGAGACTAAGTTGGAGGGAGAAGGGTCATAAAGAGAAATTCTCTTTTCATCCTCTAACCCCCATTTTGCTGCTAATGGGAAACAATTCCATAGAAGGAAGATGGAAGAGTTGCTGGAAGAACTCTTTGATCTGGTGCATAAATAGAGGAGTTGTCCTTCAATTCACAGAGCATTCATCGTAAGAAAGGAGAGGCATGGGTTGTTCCAACAGGTGTAGGCCAGGGGGTAGATAGATGGGTGGTAGGAGCTTGTGGAAGTTCTCTCCTGATTGCTTCTAGATGCTTAGTGAGTATGAGAAGCAGGGGCATCCATTTAAAGTGAGGATTTAAAAGAAACTGTCAGAATTTCAAAGAAAGAGGAGTGAGTATGAAAAAAATGTGCAGAGAGTGAATGGATTTTGGAAATGCAGCTGGTTTCTGGCGTGTGGGAAAGACCACCGGAGGTCAGTAGTCAGGGCTTCAATGTGGAAGCAGTCAGCATGGTGTGCTTTCCCTGTTGGGGTTCTGAGGCATGATGTGGGGCAGGCAGAGTGGGGAGTGAGCTTTAGCCAGGATTAGAGTTTTGTCAGGTGACTAAAATAAAGCAAGAAAGGAATAAGGAAGTTGAGGGAATAATAGAGAGGATTTTAATCTTGTTAGATTTTTACTTCTCTTTTGGTGATACTTGTATTCCTAAATGTTTTATTATTTTACAAACTACTTTTAATGCGGCAGAATGTTGCCCCATGAGAAAACCTGTCACTGTGGCTTTTTTTCAGTATACCTCAAAGATATAATTGGCATATAGCATTGTGTAAGTTTAAGGTGTTCAAAGCATTGCTTTGAAATACTTATATATTGCGGAATGATTACCACCATAGGTTTGCCAACACCTCCATCATGTTACATAATTACCATTTCTTTATTTTGAGAAGAACATTGAACATCTACTCTTTTAGCAATTTCCAAGTATATTATATGATATAGTAATATTAACTTTAATCACCATGCCCTACATTCTATCCCCAGAACTTATTCATCATAAAACTGGCAGTTTTCATCCTTTGACCAACACTATAGTTTTATAAACTACAGCAACTATTTAAGTTTTTATATTTAGAGTAAGCGTATTGTCTCATAAGCTTAACTTATTTCCAAAGGTTATTCTATGTGCATTGTAGTGTATTTGGTTTATAGTTCAGTTATCAGAATTAGAGGACCACTTATTTCATTGTGACTTCCAGATGTAGGACTTTTCCACATAGCACCTTTCTTTACTACTGTCCAAACCAGCACTGACTCAACCTTGCTAAGTTCTGAAACATGGAGATTCTAAGAATGCTACAAGGCATTGAGTTAAATGAAGTAATAGTAATGAACCACTAATAGAAAATTATATTTCTTGAGGTTGCAGACAGAAAAAAGGTTTGTCTCAAAAGAACCTTTTCTCAAAAAAAAAAAAAAAGGAATTTACAGACCTGAAATATCTAAGGGTGTTTGTTTTGCCTAAGAATGGGGGTACCAGCCTCTGCAAGAAAGAAATGGCAACTTCCATTCACAAGTTTGTTTAGAAAGAAAGCTTTTACAGTGGTGTTATAAATAGTTTGAAAATCTAAAGTATATTGAGAATATTAAATGATGATGTCACCATTATAAGTTGATGTTTTGTCATTTTTTTCTCTTTGGACAGGTTTATAAAAAGCTCAATACTCATGTGGCCTTAGTGGGGATAGAAATCTGGAATGATGAGGATAAGATAAAGATCACCCCAAATGCAAGCTTCACCTTGGAAAACTTTTCTAAATGGAGGGGGGATATCCTCCTTAGAAGAAAGCGTCATGATATTGCTCAGTTAATCACGTATGTATAGATTCCCCCCTTTTTATGTTATGTGGTTTTTAGCATAAAACTTCTCAAAGCCCGGGCAAAGCAAGTGGTATCTCAGGGTATAAGGTAAGGGGACATGGTTTAACATAGAAGGTTAAAAGTTTTAAAAGTATTCATTAGGACCTTATGTTGAATATGCTCTTTTCTTTTTTATGAGAAGCTAATGATTTAGTAATGATTCACAAGAAGTTTGTTTGTTTTTATTGGATGCACAGAAAGGAAAGACTGGTTTAGAGGATGGACAGATGAATTTAGATTTACTATTTAAAAAGAATTGATTAGCTTTAAGTGCTAGTCAGGACACACTTCTAGAATAGAAGATAAATTGAATATTGCATTCTGATTACACACCTCTACCATTCTGCTGAAATGACTAATTTTAAAAAAACAGGGAAAATAAATATAAAAGTTGTAAATTATACAAAAAGTGCTGAACATTTGCCTTAAAAGAGATCAAGAAAATTCTGCTGGATAGCTTGCAGCTGTATCAGATAGAAGGAAGCAGCAGGAAATTAGATTTTGTCAGAATTAATATTGTTTGCTGGTTATCTATTACAGTATAACACATCAGCTCACAACCTCTTGACTTAAACTAAGTCTTCTTCACTTATATGGCTGATAATTTGCCTGGTGAGGCTGGAGAAGGGGGGCTGGTTGGTCATCTTTCTGTATATACAGCTTTTTGTGTGGCTAACTTGGACTGCCTCTAACATGGCAGTCTCAGGATTTTGGATATCTTAGTAGGTGACTCACTTTTCCCAGAAGAGGCATTCTAAGGGGCCCAGGAGAGAGCTTTAAGGCTTTGTTTTGACCCAATTTTAGAAATGACATGGTCACATGATTTGTTCTGTTGGTCAAGAGCGAGTCATAGACCTATGCAGATTCATAGGCACTCCAGGATGTGAATATTGCAAAGCTGGTCTTTGGGGTTATCTTTGAAGAACAGCAGCCAGAGTTCCTTCATTTGGGAAGGTCAGCCAGACTCAAGGGCCCACCAAAGGTAAAACATCATTTTTGAAAAATTCATGATTTTTCAAGATCTTAAACTAGTAAGTATTAAGGGAATCCAATTACCAGACTGTCTCCAGGGCCATGCTTGATTATAGTGTATTCCTGTATGTGAGTAGTAGGATAGAGAGATACAAATTATACATAAGATAACAGGTGCATAAATAAAAAATTGGAAATCAAATGTCGAGTAAATTTCTTGAATAGGTTAAAATAAACAGATTAAAATATATGATGGAAAGAAATAATTGTCTATTTACTTGTAAATAGAAAGTTTACCATTTACCTGACTAATTAACAAAAGATACCTGTATCTCAGTGTAATCAGGTAGAGACCTTAGAGTCTAAATATATTCTATTCACTAAAAATTGGAACCAAACTAGATAACTCCAAGATGGGGAAAGATTTTATTTTTTATAAATGAGGTAGTAGTGAGATTGAACCTAAAAAAATGTAGATGTAAGTATAAGTAAATTTACAATATAATTTTTAAGAGGTCAATATCATTTCAAAATAACATATCTGAACACTCCACAGTGAATGCAATTTCCTCATTTTGCATGGCAAAAATTAATATTCTCCATTCTTGATGTTGATAAGTGGGAAGATATAGGTTCTTTTTTAAATGTAACTGCATCTACTAAGTAAATTTATTTTCTTTCTTTTTCAATCCTCACCAGAGGATATTCTTATTGATTTCAGAGAGAGGGGAAAAGAGAGAGAGAGAGAGAGAGAGAGAGAGAGAGAGAGAGAGAGAGAGAAACATCAATGTGAGAGAGAACATCAAACACACAACCTAGGTATGTGCCCTGATCTGGAATGGAACCTGTGACCTCCCAGTGTATGGGATGACACTAATGATGCATATATTGCAAATTTCTAGTACAAATGAGGACCAGGATCTTGAACAGATAGCAGAAGAAGAATAACAAAGAAATAAAGTGGAATCATTAAAAACTGAGAAAAATAAATTAGAATTACTAAAGACCAAATACATCATCTCCATAAATAAACGCAAGTGTTTCAAATCCCTCTTCAACAGGACAAATATTTCAATAACAAATAAGGTTCATTAACACAAAATCTTTCAGAATGGGCCCAAATTCCAAATCCTACTATACTTAAAACAGTGCTAAAGGAAAATAAAAGTAAATGGTTATAAAAATATAAAGGGTGTCCCAAAATTCACACAAGAAGTAATTTTGATAGAAAACACAGGTTTATAATTAAAAAATGTAAATTTTTTATTGATTCATAAAGTATAGGGTTATGTATGGAATAGCATATCTGGTAAATGGATTATTATGTCACTATAGCAAGCACCATTAACTGTTATTGCCTGAGCAGCCGCATTTTCGAAGAAGAATGGTCCGATGATGCCTCCAGCCCAAAATCTGCACCAAACAGTGACACGTTGTGTATGCATTTGTTTCTCAACAATCACTCCTGGATTTTCTGAACCCCAAATGTGACAATTTTGTCGATTAACCAAGACATCAAGATGAAAATGAGCCGCATCGCTGAAGATGATTTTGTTTGAAAAATCAGCATCCACTTGTTGTTGTTCCATAATCCATTCAACGAACTCTATTCGCTGTGCGTGGTCAGTAGGCTTCAGTTTCTTGAGTCAATTGAACGTTGTAAGCATGAAGATGCAAATCTTTCATGAGAATACGCTGTAGAGAGCTTCTCAAAATGTCTGATTCTTGACCATAGTGCCGAATTGATGTCCCTGGACTCTCAGCAACACTCTCATGAACTGCTTTGATATTTTGTGTTGAATGACTTGTTGAAGGACAGCCAGAATGTTTAGGATCACTAATTGAGCCAGTCTCCCTAAATTTTTTAATTAATCTCATCACAGTTGATGAAGTTAAATCACTATTCCGACTATATTTTGCACAAAAATTGAGAACTGTAGCTGCCAAACCTTCATTATTTTTAAAATATTACTCAACAATGAAAAAGCGTTTTTTTTTGTAGCGCTCCATTTTTAATAACCCTGAACTGTCAGCTGTCATGCTATCTTTTTTTTGGTCATTGGCAACACTTTACGGCACAAATGGCGTAAAATTTAAAACTTGTGTGAATTTTGGGACACCCTTTTATAACAGGAAAATATAAATTAAAACAAAGCATATGTGACAATCTATACTAATAAAAGGGTAATATGCTAATTAGACCAGATGTCTTCCAGATGACCTTCTGGACATCCTTCCCGACAAAGCTGCTGTGGCTGCGAAGGGTCGGAGGGAGAGGGCCGTGCCCCAGAAGTCCCGCCTCTGTGTGTGAGCTGCACAGGAAACACTTTTTCTGACCGCTCATTGGCTAAGCTTGCAGTATGCCACTTGCTTGGGTAATAAGAATCCAAGAAGGTGATCTAGGGTTTTTCCATCTCACTCCTGGAGGAAAAAATGGAGGTCTGCTGCTGGAGGGGCTAATAAATATCATATCCTGCCCTAGCCAGTTTGGCTCAGTGGATAGAGTCTCAGCCTGCAGACCGCAGGGTCCCAGTTTGATTCTGGTCAAGGGCACATACCTAGGTTGTAGGCTCCTCCCTGGCTGGGGCCCAGGTCAGGGCTCATGCAGGAGGCAACCAATCGATGTGTCCCTCTCACATTGATGTTTCTCTCTGTCTTTCCCTCTCCCACGCTCTCTAAAAATGAATGGAAAAATATCCTCAGGTGAGGAAAGGAAGAAAGAAAGAAAGAAAGAAAGAAAGAAAGAAAGAAAGAAAGAAAGAAAGAAAGGAAGGAAGGAAGGAAGGAAGGAAGGAAGGAAGGAAGGAAGGAAGAAAGAAAGAAAGAAAGAAAGAAAGAAAGAAAGAAAGAAAGAAAGAAAGAAAGAAAGAAAGGAAGAAAGAAAGAAAGAAAGGTTATATTCTATGAAAGAGACATCTTGAAAATGCCTAAAGAAAGTTGTCACTTTTTTCATGGTGAAGGGACTGGAGTCCGTTTTGACGAAAACACCTTGGCGGCTGCAAGGGCTGAGTGCTGGCAGCTGCAGTGGCTGGCAGTGGCAGCAGCAGCGGGGTGATGGGCGTGGTGCCTTCCCCTGATCAGCTAGTTGCCTTCCGCAGATGGAGGCCAGACTGTGGCTTAGCTGTCAGTAGGAAATCCCCTGAGGGCTCCCGGACTGTGAGAGGGGGCAGGCTCAGCTGAGGGCCCCCCCAGTGCATGAGGCAAAAACACATTTTCTGACAAGGGATGTATTCCACAATGAAAATATAATAATCATGAATGATAGATATAAAATATTAAAAGTGATTACATTCAGGTGCTTAGATTTAGGTGACATGACAACCATTGTATAAGAAAAATGCCTCATCAAATTAAAAAAAATAAGAAAATATTTAAATCATTTATTTATTTACTTTAGAGAGAGAGGAAGGGAGAGAGAAACAGAGAAATATCAATTTGTTTTTCTACTTATTTATGTATTAATTGGTTGATTCTTGTATGTGCCCTGCCTGACTGGAGACTGAACCCACAACCTTAGTATATTGATAAGAAACTCTAACCAACTAAACTACCAGTCCAGGAAAAAAAACGGAAGGACATATTTAGAGTGATGATTCACAATGTGAGTTTCTCTGTTAATCATTTAGAGTTGTGGATGAACTGTCTATAGAAAATAAAGCTTAGTTGTCATATCAATTTCTTTCAGGGCAACAGAACTTTCTGGAACAACTGTGGGTCTTGCTTTCATGTCCACAATGTGCTCTCCTTACCATTCTGTTGGCATCATTCAGGTTTGTTTAAGATAATCAATTGGTCTGTGTTCAAGCTTGTCAAATGCTCTGTTTTGTGAATTTATTGAGAAGATAGTATAGTTTTTTCTCCTTCAGTGTCTTGACATGGCTGATTAACATTGAATTTCAAATGTTGAATGTAGCTTGCATATCCAGTATAAACCCAGCACGATCATAATGTTTTATCTTGTTTATGGGGTCATTCCAGGGGAAAAACATTGAAGTTATGAAAATAACTATTTTAAAGGAATACCCTAAATTTGAATAAATCTTAAAGCAATCTGGACAGTCTTGAAACACACTTCTACTTTTCTTAATCTTTTTGATTTGTTTTTGTCTCCAACCAGGGAGTTGTATCTTACTAGATAGCAAAGTTTAACATATTTATTTCAACAGGATGAAACAATTTGTGAATGATAGGTATTACCTTCTCATCTTACACGAGTTTTCCTTGCTTGCCAGTCTTGTACTGTGCATTATGAATCTATTTACTTGGTTCTTTGAAACGAAGAAGATAAGGAAATCGGGTTTCTGTGGATTGGTGTTATCAGCAAATTTGTCTCTCCATTGGGAAATTAAAACTAGCAATAATTTTCTAGTGTTTTTAAGTGCACCTCTAATCAGAAATAATCTGGTAATGAAGTTGGCCATTGGTTGGACTTCATGCAATGGGGCACGTCTGGAATTCATTGAAGTACAGTCTTGGCAGTAATAGAGTTGAAAAAGATACCCATGTGCTAAAGTTTTAGGTTAATCAACACTTTTAAAGCTCCATTAGTTAAACATATCAAAGCTCTCCAATTGAATTAGAAGGTATTAAAAAGCAAGCTGGGGACTGGAGGTAGATTATTTTAAAAACATTTCTGATTCCTTATCATGCTGAATAAATTTTGCTATCTCTCATGGCAGGAAACCACTAATATCTTTCTCATTAAAATATTCCCCTTCACATATGTCTCAGATTTTGCTGCCTATGGATTCCTCTAATAATTTTATGGTTTCCCCCATCTTACGTTTAAGTCATTTATCCATTTTGAGTTTATTTTTGTGTATGGTGTACGTTGGTGGTCTAGTTTATTTTTTTTTTGCATATATCTGTCCAATTTTTCCAACACCATTTATTGAAGAGATTGTCTTGATTCCATTGTATGCTCTTGCCTCCTTTGTCAAATATTAATTGAGCATAGTGGTTTGGGTCAATTTCTGGGTTCTCTATTCTATTCCATTGGTCTATATGTCTGTTCTTATGCCAACATTGATACAGCTCGTAGGGCAATAGAAGCTAAAGAGAAAATAAACAAATGGGACTACATCCCATTTATTTTACATTAAAATAAAAAGCTTCTGCACAGCAAAAGAAACCATCTACAAAACAACAAGAAAGCCCACTGCATGGGAGAACATATTTGCCAATGTTATCTCCAATAGGGTTTAATCTCCAACATTTACAGGGAACTCATACAACTTAACAAAAGGAAGATAAACAATCCAATCAAAAAATGGGCAACGGACCTAAATGGACACTTTTCGAAAGAAGACATAAAGAAGGCCAAGAGACATATGAAAACATGCTCAAATTCACTAATCATCTGAAAGATGCAAATCAAAACAACCATCTCACACCTGTCAGAATGGCTATCATCAACAAATCAGCAAATGACAAATGCTAGCGAGGATGCGGAGAAAAAGGAACCTTTGTGCACTGTTGGTGGGAATGCAGACTGGTGCAGCCACTGTGGAAAACAGTATGGAGTTTCCTCAACGAACTAAAAATGGAACTTCCATTTGACCCAGTGATCCCACTTCTAGGAATATATCCCAAGAAACTAGAAACACCAATCAGAAAGGATATATGCACCCCTATGTTCATAGCAGCACAATTTACAATAGCGAAGATTTTAAGTGCCCATCAGCAGATGAGTGAATTAGAAAACCGTGGTACATCCACACAATGGGATATTATGTTGTGGTAAAAAGGAAGGAACTCCAACCATTTGAAACAGCATGGATGGAAGTGGAGAGCATTATGCTAAGTGAAATAAGTCAGTCAGAGAAAGATAAATATCACATGATCTCACTTATTTTCGGATTATAATGAGCAACATAAACTGATGAACAAAAACAGATCCAGAGACAGAGAAGCATTGATCAGATGCTCAAACCTCAGAGGAAAGGTAGGGAAGGGTGGGGGTAAGGGGTAAAAGTCAACCAAAGGACTTGTATGCATGCATATAAGCATAACCAATGGACATACACACCAGGGGGCTGAGGGCATGAATGGGAGTGGGGTGGGGGGAACTGGGGGGATAAGGACACATACACAGAGTCCAGATTATTATGACCACCTGACGTTTGTAGGCAAATTAGCTATAATTTCGTGCTGAAGTTGCTAGAGGGCCAGACCATTATAAATAGGGAAGCAGGTTGTTTACCATGACAGTAGAAGTGATTTTTTTCTGAAGACATGGGTAAACAATGCGGTTTAACAGCCTTTGAACGTGGGATATATTTGAACGTGAGTAGCCAGATTATTATGACCACCCCATCAGTACTTCGTTGGGCCACCTTTTGCCCTCAATACTGTGGTGATTCTTCTTGGCATTGACTCCACGAGATGTTGAAAGGTGATGCAAGGAATCTGACACCATGCCTGATGAATAACACTGTCCAGTCTGTGAGATTTGATGGTTGTGGAACCAGCTGCCTGATGACTCTTTTAACTTTGTCCCACAAATGCTCAATTAGATTGAGATCTGGTGATTGTGGGGGGCCACCTAAGCAAGGTAAAGTCTCCCTCATGTTCTTGAAACCACTCCTGCACAATACAAGCACCATGGCATGGCGTGTTGTCTTGTTGGAAGAAGCCATCTCCATTGGGATATGCCATCAACATGTTAGGATGAACTTGATCAGCAATGATACTTAGGTATGCTGTGCTATTCAGACGTTGTTCCACATGAATTAAAGGGCCCAAATCATGCCAGGAAAACACACCCCAAACCATAACACTTCCCCCACCACCTTGAAGGGTTGTACTCATGCATGTGGGATGCATGCTTTCATGCTGTTTCCGCCAAATTCTCACTCTGCCATCTGCATGATGCAACTGGAAACGTGATTCATTGGACCACATGACTTTTTTCCAATGCTCAACTGTCCAATCCTTGTGTTCCTGTGTGAATTGGAGATGTTTTATCTTGGTAACTGCAACAGCAAAGGTGTTCGAACAGGCCTTCGGCTTCCATATCCCATATGATGCAGTGTATGGCTAATTTGCCTACAAACATCAGGTGATCAAAATAATCTGGCCACTCATCATAATACATATCCCTCATTCAAAGACTTAAATCGTATTATATACCCATATCTTCAGAAAAAAATCACTTCTACTGTCATGGTAAACAGCCTGCTTCTCTATTTATAATGGTCTGGCCCTCTAGCAACTTCAGCGCAAAAGTATAGCTAATTTGCCTGCAAACATCAGGTGGTCATAATAATCTGGACACTCAGTATATGTAATACCTTAATCAATAAAAAAAATTTTAAAAAATTCCCCATTCACAAGAAAAAAAGGGCAGGTAATATGACCTGTGATGGGCATTCAGTATTGAAGTTTTTGTTTTATTTTATTTTGGTGTGTGTGTGTGTGTGTGTGTGTGTGTGTGTGGAGAGAGAGAGAGAGAGAGAGAGAGAGAGAGAGAGAGAGAGAAAGAAGAAGAAGAAGAAGAAGAAGAAGAAGAAGAAGAAGAAGAAGAAGAAGAAGAAGGAGGAGGAGGGGGAAGAGGAAGAGGAGGAGGGGGGGAGGAGGAGGAGAGGGGAGGGGAGGGGAGGGGAGGAGAAGGACAGAGGACAGATGATGGGTACGGTGAGTAGGCTAAAGCTAAAATCAGCCTCTCCACTTGGCTACAATAAAAGCATTTAATTATACCCTGAGTGATACTTTAGATTACAAACTAGATCTGTTTCTTGTTCTCACCCTTAGGACCACAGTGACAATGTACTTAAAGTTGCAGGGACAATGGCCCATGAAATGGGCCATAACTTTGGGATGTTTCATGACGCCCATGTTTGCAAGTGCCCTGCTACAATCTGTGTGATGAACAATGCACTAAGGTAAGTCTCTCTGGGAAGATGCTATTTCCCCCTGTTTTTTTTTTTTTTTTTAATTTTTCTCTTGGGTGTGCTACTCTTTTATGTCATCTTCCATAACATGGTCAAGGTTTTAAATGATTAAATAGCAACATCACAAATGTGTATCTATACCAAACTACTTTATCCCTCCCCTATATGCTAATATTTTTCATTAACTAACACATAGTTTAAACATATTTTCTCTTTGCTCTTAGGGTGATTTGTCATTTTATCCTCACCTATATGAAATCATTAGCATTTATCAAATTTTGATTAAGTTTAGATTGGGTGGCAGTAAGGAAAAAGTTCTAGGAGAAAAATCTAAAGAAGAAAGTTCTTACAGGAAGATGAAGAGAGAGTCTGTGAAAAGAGATTACTCATTTCTGCCTTGCCTTAGGCAAACTTACCAGGCAATTTTATCTTTAAAAATTCCAGACTCCCTTTTACACATTCATTTCCTCTTTTTCATTTCCTTCTTAGCTTCTCGATATAGGATTAGTCTCCATTCTGCGAAATAGCATATGGCTGCATGCCAACTACATATCTGATGCTATTTTTTCAAAATATTAGTACATTTAATATATATATATTGATTTCAGAGAGGGAGAAAGAGAGAAACATCAATGATGAGCGAAAATATTGATCGGCTGCCTCCTGTAGGCCCCACACTAGTGATTAGGCCTACAACCTGTGCATGTGCCCTGACAGGAAAGCGAACCCTGACCTCCTGGTTCATCGGTCGATGCCCAACCACTGAGTGACACTGGCTGGGCTGCATTTTTGTTTTTTTAAACAGCAGCCCGGATTCTGTATTTTTCTCATTTAGTTGGAGGTGTTTATGTCCATTCAGGTGGGCTAATTTAGTATGTAAATGAGCTTATGACTTGGTAGTTGATCAGTGGCTTTGATTTGCTCTTTTGGGGAAGGTTTCGGGTGTACCATCCCCAATGTCTGATATTTGTCCCCTACCTGCTCAGCATAACTGCATTCTCTTCTCTTTCCTTATCTTCACAGCTTCCATATACCCACAGACTTCAGTTCCTGCAGCCGTGTCAGCTATGCCAACTATTTTGAAGACAAATTATCAAATTGCCTCTTTAATGTTCCGTTACCTACAGATATCATATCCAACCCAATCTGTGGGAATCAGTTGGTAGAAATGGGAGAGGACTGTGATTGTGGGACTTCCGAGGTACAACTGAGTCCTTTATATAAAAGTTTAGTTTGTTTTAAATTGCCAAGAAGATAAGCTATACAACTCTATAGTGTTTGTACACTTGAAATCTATGTAATTTTATTAACCAACATCACCGTGATGCATTTAATTTTAAATAAAATGAAACAGTTTTGAGATATATTTTTAAAAATGATATAATGTGGTTCACTATAAAAGTTCATGTTTCTTGTGATTTTTGTATATTCACTTGTAAATACTTGCCAGGCCAGCTTTTCTAACAATGAATCCCGCATTGCTTAACAGACCTTCTTGGGTTTCTTCCCCATGTCTAGTTTTTTAATACCACTCACCAGCCGGGGCTTTGTGTCCTTATCCCGCCCTTTCTGTCAGAAGTACTTCACATCTCTTACATGCCCTATGCCTTCTTGAGCAGTCACTTTAGACAGAGCACTACGACAGTGCTCAGAGAGCGGAAGTAGCTTGCCCAAGGTCACCAGGCTGGTAAACGAAGGAGCCACGGTGTGAACTCAGGGGTGCTGTTCAGCAGTCCCACAGCACCCTGCACAGTTTATCCCTTGGTGACTCAGGACTTGTTACCGTTATAAGTGCCTGGCCTGATCCCACCTTGTTCACAGGGCAGCCGGGATTCTGCATAGGACCCTTGTCCCACTCTTATTAACACTTAATATAAGTAACATGTCAAACCCCCAGGGTCCAGCTTCTCAGTAACTTCAAGTAGGATTTCAGATCTATTCATTCTGTGAGAAAGAGCAAACTTTCTTAGATGATACTTATATTTGAAATTGGGTAAGAATTTTAAGCTTAAATATTGTAATTCTGAATATACCATTCGTCTTGGGGAATCTCAATTGCTACAATGAGAAAGGGGCACGATTTCTCAAAAACTAGGCAAGGAGAACAAAACAAAGTATACTGCTTTATGTAGGGTTGAATTAGATGTAGAAATTTAATAAAGAACTATATTTTTAGACTTTCAGTTACATGTTCTAGATATTAAATTTACTGCTGAATAGATACATAACTGATCGGTTGAATTAATTATGTTCTTTATTTAGATAATTGTTATTTTTTTTAATAAACTGTCCTTTGTGTGTTTGTTGGCTCTCATATTTTCAGTATTAATATGGGAAGCTTGATGAACTAAAAAAAGATATTCAAATTAAAAAATATATAAGTAGAATCAGAAAAATACCAAGCCCTTCGTTGTTCTAAAATCTCAGCTTTTCTAATGTTAAGCTTTGTTGTTGTTTTTTATTTTCCTGAAAATTATGTTCAGACTATACCAAAATGAGGTCTGTGCAATGAACAAATTGTATTATGAATTGTGCTGAAAGGAGACCAAAAAGTAATTTGGCATTTGCGATTGTTTCTGGTATTCCTTAGGAATGCACCAACATCTGCTGTGACGCTAAAACATGTAAAATCAAGGCAGGTTTTCAATGTGCGTTAGGAGAATGCTGTGAAAAGTGCCAGGTAAGATTCTTTTATTCTGTCTTAACCATGATGACTACCCTTTATTTTTTCATGTTAAAATCTCAGGGGTTGTGTTAAATGAAATAAGGAAAACAGCATTTTCCTGTCTCTACATAATGCTACCTGCCACTTATCAAGTCCTCCCTGAGGGCTTGACAAACATGAGCTATTTCATCCTCCAACACCCCTTTGAAGTAGGTATTAGTATCTCATTTTGCTTTTGAGGGAAAAGAGGCTCAGAACAGAAAACGTGCAGATTAATAGGATCACTAAATGGCAAACTCCAAATTTACTGGTTCTTGTAAACGTAACTCCCTTAAGATGGAAGATCCTCTGAAGTTACAGATTGAAACCTCCATGAAAGTCTTGTCAATGATGCATTCAATAAAGTCAGAAATAACTTCCTTCTTTGCATCTAGGATATTGCTTGGTTTTCTTTGGTACTTTTCTCCTTGATATTTCTATAATGTTTCTACTACAAATCCAGAAATATTGATTGCTTAAAGAATCAGAGTGTTGGCCAAAATCAGTGGAATTGATATAATAGTGCTAGGGTCCAGCCCCATGGGGTCCAGGGGGTCCCAAAGGTGTAGACGGAGTCGGCGAAGAATGTTTTACACAGAGACAGTGTTCAGAACTCTCTAGCTTTCCTTATTCTCCGTGGATCTTCCCTGTGCCTGGCTGAGGCCACAGAAAAAGATCCCAAGGCAAGCTGAGCCTTTATTTTATAGTGAGCGGTAAACAAGGTAGTGGTTTCCATAGTTACACAGTTCTTGTAAGTTTCACTTGTTTACACTGTTGTAAGTTTCACTTGTTTTTGTTCTTGTAAATTTCACTTGTTTACAGCTTCCCGAGTAAGATCTAGGGAGCGTCATAAGGTCAAGCCTAATTATGCTAAGAGGACTGTGCTCTCTAAGGAGCGTCATAAGGTCAAGCCTAATTATGCTAAGAGGACTGTGCTCTCTAAGCTGGGAATTGTTTATGACTTTGCCCATCCTGATATCCAAGTCCCTGTCCAGGAGTGTGAGGTATTACTTCTATAGGATATAGTCTTCCTTGCTTTTCTTTTCCTAATCCCTTTTCTGGATTAAATCCCATGTCTACCATTTGTGATGTTACTCTATCACTGGGGCTATATAACAGAACTCCCATTTGAGACAAGATATCTCTTCCCCATAATGTAAAGGGGATAGTTGTAATTATATAGGGACAGAATGTTCCTGAATGTTGATCTTCATCAGCCCAAGTTAAAATCTGAGAACTCTTTTTTACATTAGATGCCTTGCCTAGTCCTATTAGGGAAGTGGGGGTGGTGTGCGTGGGCCACGAAGAGGGCCAATCCTTCCCTGCTATGCAGGAAACATCTGCTCCTGTATCCAAAAGACCTTCAATTGGTTTTCCTTGAATTTGTAAAATTTTTATAGGTCTAGCAGCATGGATTTCTTGTATCCAAAATGCTGCATCACTAGATCCAAAGCCTCCAGCCCCTCTGGCTTCCTGGGTAATAGCTGTCCCTATTTTATGTATTGGTAACAGGAGTAATTGGGCAATTCTCTGGTTGGGCTGAATCTGTATAGTTGTGGTGGGCGGGGAAAGTAAAATCTGTATTTCTCCTGTGAAGTCTGCATCAATAACTCCTGGGATGACTAAGATCCCCTGTAGCGAGGTGGAGCTCTGTCCTAATATTAAACCTACAGTTCCCTCAGGCAGCGGCCCAGACACACCTGTAGGAATGGCTGTTACCTGCGAGTCTGGGGTTAGTATTGCGTGGGTGGTGGAGCGGAGGTCCAATCCTGCACTGCCTGGGGTTGCCCTGAAGAGGTTACTGACTGATTGAAATTTGCAAAGGGGTTGAGGGTTGATGCCCCTGTTATTGCAGGGGCCTGGGGCTGGGCTTAAAAAAATAAAAGAAAGGTGAGATGTGGGGAGCTGATATAGGGTTAAGCCTCAGACTGACCTGTGGGCAAAGTCATAAACAATTCCCAGCTTAGAGAGCACAGTCCTCTTAGCATAATTAGGCTTGACCTTATGACGCTCCCTAGATCTTACTCGGGAAGCTAATGGGCTGAGGGAAGTGCAACAAGAACAAAAACAAGTGAAACTTACAAGAGCAGTGTAAACAAGTGAAATTTACAAGAACAAAAACAAGTGAAACTTACAACAGTGTAAACAAGTGAAACTTACAAGAACTGTGTAACTATGGAAACCACTACCTTGTTTACCACTCACTATAAAATAAAGGCTCAGCTTGCCTTGGGATCTTTTTCTGTGGCCTCAGCCAGGCACAGGGAAGATCCACGGAGAATAAGGAAAGCTAGAGAGTTCTGAACACTGTCTCTGTGTAAAACATTCTTCGCCGACTCCGTCTACACCTTTGGGACCCCCTGGACCCCATGGGGCTGGACCCCAGCATAATAGGAGATGGCTTTAGCTTATACCAGGTAAATGTAAACTGGAATAGAATGATGCCCCTAACTATCTTGGCAATAAAAGGCCAAAGGGAAAATATTATTTGTGTTAATTTGAAATATTTGGAAAGCCAGGTGGAATACAGCCTTCTCTCAATGTCTCTCCCCTCCCATCCCCCCCCTGCAGTTTAAAAAGGCTGGTATAGTGTGCAGACCAGCAAAAGATGAGTGTGACCTGCTGGAAATGTGTGATGGTAAATCTGGTATTTGCCCTGCTGACCGATTTCAAGTCAATGGCTTCCCTTGCCAGGATGGGAAGGGCTACTGCTTCATGGGGATGTGCCCCACGCTGCAGGAGCAGTGCACCGAGCTCTGGGGAGCAGGTAGGAGGACACATCCCAGTGTTGCTGGCATTCCTGCCTCTCTCTACACATATGGAGCAAAACAAAACATGTTATTGCAAGTGACAGTGTTTAATCATGGCCAAAATGGCGTTCTGTCCCAATCTTCTTTCTTAGCAACTACACCACTGCATTTTAGGACCAAAGGTCAGTTTGGGGTTTGCTAGATTTAGCAAATAAAAATAAGAATGGGCCAGTGAAACTTAAATTTCAGATTAACAATCTTTTTTAGTATTCGTATGTCTCATGCAATATTTGAGGCAAACTCAACAAAAACCTTTATTTGTGTATCTGAGATTTAAATTTAACTGCTGGGTTCAGTATTTTATCTGATAGCACCAACCAAGATCTTTTTCAGATAAGTAAACCCTTGGAAGTTTGTATGCATGCATGTGCATACATGTGCATTTGTATGCATGTATATATGTAGGTGTGTGGTGGTGATCAGAGGTGGACAGAGAGTTAAAGAAAGGAGGAGAAGGAAAAGGAAGTTAGAGAAAAGGAAGACACTTGAAGACAAGTGAATGATCTTTAATGCTTATCCTATATAATAAAAGGCTAATATGCAAATCAACCGAACGGCATCAACCGAACGGCACAACGACCAGTCACTATGATACACACTGACCACCAGGGGGCATATGCTTAACTCAGTCAGTGCACTCCCACAGGGGAGCACCGCTCAGTCAGAAGCCGGGCTCACAGCTGGCGAGCACAGTGGTGGTGGAAGGAGCCTGGTGGAAGGAGCCTCTCCTGCCTCCGGGGCAGTGCTAAGGATGTCTGACTGACAGTCCCCAAGGGCTCCTGGACTGTGAGAGGGCACAGGCTGGGCTGAGGGACCCCCTAGAGTGCACAAATTTTGTGCACTGGGCTTCTAGTTTGGTATACAATACCAGAATTTTAGAGGCCATATTTCCTAATTATACAATAAAAAAGAAATAAAAGCATAACTCAAAAATCTGCAAAAACTTTGAACCAAAATTTAAATTGTTCTAAATAACTTTATTAGAAAGGCAATTTTAAAAATATCAATTCTTTGGGCTTCCTGGATATGATGCATTGTATAAATATATATAAAATTAAATAAATATATAAATATTTAATTTTGCCACACTCCCAGATTCCTATTTAAATTGCTGAAGGAATCTTTTTCAAATATGGAGAATACATATTCTTAAAATTATTTGAAGAGAATTATCACATGTAAGAAAAATTTTATAATTTCTAAAAATATAAAGATAAAATATTAAGGAAAGTAAAAGTAATTATTGACTCACAATACACCCAAAATAAAAGAAACCTGGGAAATAAATGGACATGAACATAGAGAAATTCCTCAGTAAAACCCTGTGTGTCAGGGAAGCATGGGCTGAAACCCAACTTGAGGAGCAAAGTTTGATATCAAGTTAATCTTCTACACTTGTTAAACTGGCAAAGCTGGGATACAGTTAATGCCTAATGTTGGTGAAGATGTGATAAAACATCTAGGTTCACACACTCTGGTAAGAATACAAATCAGCACAATCTTTTCAGAGAGAATTGGAAAAATGCATATACAACCTAAAAAAGTACTCCTTTTCCTAAAAATTATACCTGAGAATATTTACTTACATGTATTTACCTAATACTTTCAAAAAATAATAGTGGATATTTGGGAAATATCTTCAAGTCCAAGAATAAGGATTAGTCAAATACATTATAGTGTACATATCCAGTGATTTCATTACAGCTATGATACTGTAGAACATTTAATGCCTGGAGAAAGGACAATTAGGGAAAGTAATTAATGAAGAAGTGTGATACAGGTATATGAATGGTACTTTCCGCAATATTAACAGTAGTAACTCTGAATTTTGGGGATTAAGAATATTATTTTTCAGCATAGATGGACTTAGAGGATATTATGCTAAGTGAAGCAAGCTAGTTAGAGAAAGGCAAATACCATATGATTTCACTTATATGTGGGATCTAATGAACAAAATAGAAACAAATTTATGATCCAGAGAAGAGACTGACAGCTGTCAAGGGGGAGGGGGTTGGGGGCTGGGTAAAAAAAGTTGAAGGGATTAAGCAGTACAAATCAGCAATTACAGAATAGCCACAGAGATGCAGATTACAGCATGAGGAATATAGCCAATAACATCTAGAAAGCTGGGTATAGGGCAGATAGGTGCTTCAGGGAGTAGGGGCCACTCTGTAGAGTACATGGTTTTCTGGCCACTCTGCTATACATCTGAAACTGGTGTGAAATGGTACTGCATGTAAACTGTGGATATATCCTATATAATAAAAAAGAAACATGTAAATTGACCGTCCCTCCACTACACTCACCAGCCAATCAGGAGTGAGTATGCAAATTAATCAGACAAAGATGGCGGGTTAATTTCCATACATGGGCGCCAGGAGGAGAGCAGAGCAGGAGAGCCGGAGGCTTGGGGGGGATGTGCCTCCCTCGGTCACTGGGAGTAACTGAGGAAGCCCCATCCCCCAAGCGACTAGGGGTGGTCAGAGGTGGAGAGCAGACACAAATGGAGTACTTTGGGGACTTTGGTCCCCCCAGCACCAAACGCCGCAGCGACACAGAGAGAGGTAGCTTGAACGACACTCATGCGGAAGCTGCAGATTAACAAAGAGTAGGAAGAGTAACCCAAAATCTGGGCGCACCATCAGTAAGCGAATCGATGTGCTGATGCCAATGAGCTGCTTTGAACCTGAGGC